CAACCCAGCAGGCACGCACACACACACAACCGGCAAGCACTCAGACAGGCATGCAAACCAGCAGGCACGCACACACACAGACTTGGGACCACAACAGAATGGGGGAATCACAACAAGGCATTCATTCCATTGACAAATCCCAGAAATCAGCAGTGTTCTCAGTCTGTGTTTTGGGCAGGTCATTACATTACTCCCCTCTCGAGAGCRAGGTCCCTTCGAGCGAGTAACTCAGTCAGAGTCGGCACAGAAGGCGTCATAGGCATAGATCAAAAAGAGAGTGTTAGTGAGTCCGAACGGAGTGAGTTTTGCAGCAAACTTAGCGATCTGTTCGTCAACAATCTGTCGTTCATATGCGTTCACAACACGTGGAGCACTCTTTATCAGTTCTTTCCGGTCAATCTAGAAGAATTCGTTCAACGGGTGGTAGAGGAAATGAACTTTGTATTCTGTTCCTCCCTCTCCCCTCGTGAGAAACGATTCTGTCAATCTCATGGCCGCCGTCAATAGGGCGAGGTATCATAGGGTCATGGAAGGGAAAAGTCTCATCATCAATGTGTGGGAACAGTTTGGAGGCATGGAAGACTGGATACGTGCGCAGGTGAGGAGGCACGTCAATCACGTACGAAGGACCGAAGTTATCCCCGACTACCTTCAGAATCTGCCAAGGGCCGTAGTACAGTGGAAGAAGCTTCCGTGATATGCCCTCTTCATCAGAAAACTTAGACATTTTGACCCAAACATAATCCCCTACTTTGAATTTTTCTTCTTTGCGCAGCTTATTGGCATGTTTGATCATGGCATGCTGGCGCTTGTTCATAGCTGCTGTAGCAGCTTTGAGCAAGCGTGCGTACTTGGCATTGTAGCCTGGCATGCCGGGCATCAGACCAGGTGACCGTTCGGGGAACAGATAGGAGAGGGGATTACGCATAGGCCATCCATACTGCAATTGGTTTCGTGTCACACCAATCGCAGAATGGATGGAGTTGTTGTACAGCCCCTTCACTTTGTGCAATTCCTTGTCCCACGTGTTCTGATCTGGAACAATTAGTGCGCGAAGCAATTGGATGACAGTCTGGTTGATCTCCCCAGCCAATCCGTTGGCTTCGGGGTGTCGACCAAAAGTCCTGTTCAGTTTGATGTCGTAGATCTGAGACGTGAAGTCTTTCCAATCTTTGCTGATGAATCTGGTGTCCTGATCACTCACAATAGTTTTCGGGACGCCGGACTGCAGAATGTATTGCTGATGGAATTCTTCTATTACAAGTTCAGTCGGGGCTTGAGGAGGGAGAGGATTCAAGTTCAGAAATTTGGAGAAGCGGTCCACAATGACCATGACTTGTGAATTCCCAGCCTCACTCACCTTTCCCATGTCCGTGAAATCGATGGAAATCGATTCACCGGGTCGATCAGGAATGGGGAGAGGTCTCAGTAGGCCATAAGGCTTATGCCTGTGCACCTTGATTCTTTGGCATACTCGACATTCAGCAATGAGTTTCTGAGGAGATCCTTTCATTCCTCGCCAATCAAATTGCTGCAGAAGACTTCCATAAGTCTTCTCAAAGCCAAAATGTCCACTCCGACCGTGCGCCAGATCCAAGAAGTGAGTTCGGAGAGGCGCATGGTTGGGTATACACAGACGATCAAACTTTCCGTACCGGCGAAATACAAGACCCTCGCATTCATGAAAATCAGGCTGACTGTTGGGGTCAGCCTTGAGCTGCTCAAGGATGGGACTAAGGTTCAGATCCTTGGCAGTGTGCTCGACCAGATCCTCCTTCAGTTTCCTCCGGAGGTCGTACGAGTCCACAAGGCAAGTCAAATACTCGGGATGGCGCGACAAAACATCAGCAACACGATCATAACAGCCTTTCTTATGTTTTAGTTCAAAGTTGAAAACATCAATGTCATGCAGCCAGTGGGTCAGAGTTGGAGAGAGATCAGTTTGTGTCTTAAACCATTGCAAGGTCTGATGATCTGAATAGACCTTGAAGTGGCGACCCAAGAGGTAGTGCTTCCAATGCGTGAGCGCCTCGCGCAAGGCATAGAGCTCCCGCATGTATGTGGAAGTGGCTACCTTGTGGTTGGGCATGCGTTTGCTGTAATATTCAAGCGGACGCAGGCCATCGCCATCATCTTGTTGCAGCACTGCACCAATCCCAAACTGGCTCGCGCGTTCGTGACTACGAACGTGAGGCTGAGATCCGCAATGCGGAGCACAGGATGACTCACCAAAGCCTCTTTCAAGGCTTGGAACGCAGTCTCACACTTTTCACACCACGCATAGGCAACATTCTTACTAGTCAGGCGTGAGAGTGGGTGAGCAATGACAGAGAACTTAGGCACAAACTT